TACTGGGGTGTGAGGCCAGAGGCTGACGGGGACAGGAGTTGCTGGGACTGGGTGAGTCGAGGGGAGGGACGAAGCAATGAAGGGTGGGTTTATGGAGAAAGGTCGAGAAAGAAGAGAGGCAGGAGGAGAGACTATCGCGGGACAAGGGGGGAGGTGGGAACCACTTTTCCCATCAGGGGTATTTGCCGTGCCCCGTGCCCGACCCCCTGATCCGGTGCTTGTTGTCTTTGGAAGCTCTGGGTGCCCCTCTGTACCACTAGGGGACTCCCTCCTTTTCCTCGCGTTTGCGAGACCTTGTCTCCTGAGGGGAGGAAGGGGCTTCTCAGGAAAGGGTTCCTGGCCCTCACCCCAGTGCCCAGGAGCCCGAGAAGTAGAAGACTAGTCCTCTAGGTTCCAACCTTGGCTCAGCCATCAACGAACTACCAACTCTGTGACCTTGGACAAGTCACTACCTTCGTAGGGCCTTGGATTTCATATGGACTTAAATTTGAAAAAGGAAAATTGATGCAAATGATATTCTAGGTGTCTTCCAGCCTCAAAATGGGGCGTTTTTTGAAGAGAAAATTATGGCGAATGGTTCCACGATCTTGGGAAGCCTGAAGATGCAAGGCCTTTAGCCGGGCTGGAGAGAATCCCCAGGGATGTGGGGGAGGGGAGGCAGCCTGCATTGCCGAGGCCAGCTCTCAGCATCCTGTGGGAGGGACGGGAGAAGTCTGTAAGTAGACGTGAGCCTTGACTCAAGAAAGATGAGGACCAGAAGTAACGTTCTGCCCCTTAGAGAGCAAAGAAGTGATGGGCGGTGGAAGATCCTAGAAGCAATGGGAAGATACTTTCTGAAAAGTCCCCAGGCCCTTTGGGAATAAGAGGACTAGTGGCGCCTGGTATAGGAGCATGGGGACTAGGAAGATTTGGGGAACGGGAAGGGAGAGGCAGGTGGTTGGGGGGCAGCTGAAGAGCGTTAGCAGGTAGATAGGCCTCATAGTAGTCAGCTGTTCTCTCTCGGTGCTTGGAAAGGAATCCAGGGCCTTGTGCGTGCTAGGCAAGCAATTCATCACAGCCTTGTCCCTCAGCTGTGCCTTTTTGATGATGGCTACCTCCTGAGAGGTGTGCTTTCTGGCCTTTGTTTCCCAGCATATCCCTTCAGGGAATGGGAGTGAGGCAGAGCGGGCCAACCTTGGGATCTTATGGCTCCCTGAGCATTTCAAGACTCTGTGAGGCTTAGGGGTGAAAACAAAACGGGAATGCAGCTAAGTGTAAGAAGTACCATCTGTGGCTTCCTTGCTGGCAGGCAGCTTTGTGGAGTGGTTGAAAGCCCAGGCTCTGGGGTCAGACTGCTTGGACTCCAAACCTGCCTCTGCCATTTAATCTCTTGGAACCTTGGTCAAGTAAGTAACTTAATCTCTCAGACCTCCAGCTTCTTTGTCTATAAAATGGGCATAATAACCTCTAAGATGGTTGCTAGGATTAAATGAGTATTTGGCACGGCACTTGGCTCCTAGTAGTGCTCCGTAAACATTACCTATTAACTGTTGTTGTTCTGTCTTTGCATTCTCTTCCTTTTATCTCTCCATTATTGTCTTTTTCTCCTTTTGTCCTTTATCTGAATGCTCAGTTCTGAGAGGCCCCTTAGATGTAAAGGCCTAGAATTGATTTTATCTTTGTGGTGGTGTTAGGGCCTTTCCAGGGCCCAGGTGAACTCATGATGATCAAGTGCCCTTTCATTGTATCTCCCCAGCCCTAAATGTGTTTTTGTTCCAGGGAGACATGGATTCTGCTTCTTTTTCAGTTCCCATCCCTCTTACCCTCTCTTGAATTAGTTATTTCTTCATATTCTCGCCCAGAATTGTAAGGAGACCCATAGTTCTATTGGCATTGCAGCAGGTGACAAAGGGACAGGCGTTTCAGGAAAGAAAGGACACACATAGCATAGAGGAAGCTCCAGGAAGAGAAGCCTTTGGAAGTTCCATAGAAATTTACATTCATTCCATTGCTTTATTCTTTGTGGCGAACTGACCGAAACAGACCAGTGTCTAAATCCTGACAAGAAGTCTCCCTCCCAAATTGAAGGTGGTTTTCCCATGTCAGTACTTGATTTCAGTTCCCTTTCCCCAAGCAAGAAAGACCTCTGCCAAGCTGCCTTTTTCTGTCTTAGCCTGTATTCAGAGAATTTAAACAAAGATACAGGGGGCATACATGCATGTGGTCTTTTAGGGTATTTCATTATGCAAAAATCTAATAAAGTTAGAGATGAGACTGCATTTTATCACAGTACTTTGTGTGCAGACCCTGTCTAGGGACTCAGTCTATTGAACCAAGATTGCAAGATAGGCTTTATTAAAAAACTTTGTTGGGCCGGGCATTTAGCTCACTGGTGCTGCCACCTGCCTTGCAAGCACAAGGTCCAACTTTGATCTCCAGAACTAAAAAAAAAGACTGTTAGTTGACAGATTTTGTAGGGTAGCAATAGGGAACCACCCTTGGTTTTCAACCAAGAAAGTGTGAGATCCTTGCTGATTTGACCACTTGGGTTGTAAGGGAGGTGAGTGTGAAAAACAGACCTTCTTGTAGGAGGAACTGTGTTTTTAAGGGACTCGGGCTAGAGGGCAGATTGGGTCCAATCCTGGCTTTGTCCCTAACCAGCTGTGGGACCTTGGACATTATTATTATCTTTGTCATATTAAGAGAGGGAACTACCTTGGTTGCCAGACTCCCCTGCAGCTCTGACATTGTGTTCCCTGAGTACTGCTGGGCCTTCCCAGTGATCCTCTGCTGTCAACAGGTTTTGGGGTTATTTTTTAAAGGGGCCCTTAGAGCTTTCAGTTTAGTGGGGGCTACAGACGTTATATTTCCTTAATTTTAACAATACTGAAGTCAGGCATCTTAAAATCAATGGGCTATTATAATTTAATGAGGAGCGTTTGTTTTTTATTAGTGCCACATAAGATACTAGTACAATTACACTTCCACAGATAACTAAAATTCTAATGGGTAATGGCTGAAAAGAAGGTATAGGTGTTACACGCACGTAAAGGAGGGGTCTGATGCACACAGTGGGTTGGAAGAGGCTTTCCAGGGTAGTGCCCTGGTGATTGAGAAGTGTGTGTGTAGGGCAGGTAGCAGGGTTGTCCCAGCACAGGTGGATACTTGAGGTGGGAGAGCTGAGATGAGTGTGGCTGGAGCCCAGACTAGGAGCTGGTCCTGGGTGAGGCTGGCAGGGTGGTTGGCAGCAGACTTCCATAGCCTTCAGGTCCTGGGCAAGGGTTTGGTGTTTACTGTAAGAACAGTGGGGAGTCATTGAAGAGCTTTGAGCAGTGGAATAATGGTCTGAGGTACACTTTGAGGAGCTTGTTTGGCTGCGGTTTGGAGTGGATACAGTTAGGGGGTCACTGCAGTAGATCAGATGAGAAAATGTTGTGGCTTGGGACAAGGGGGGTGGTGGAATAGAAGAGAAAATGGAAAGAAGTAGATTCAAGAAGTCTTTTGGAGGTACAGTTAAACAGATTCTGATATATTACTGAAGGAGGTGTAGAAAGTGACTCGGAGGTGTCTGTCATGGACAGATGGTATGGAGATGGTAATCCTGGGCCCAGTTAGACCCAAAGATGACTCTCTGGAATGTTAGAGGTACTCATAAGGCAGCATGAGGTGAGAGAATATGACATAGAAAACTGGATCCCCCCAATGTAGATGGCTTTTTGACATCCCATGCCTAGGAAAGTTTAGGATAGGAGCAGGTCTGAATAAAGGGCTATGTGAGGTGAACACTGAGAAAAGGGTGAGGCAGATCTGACTAGTGTAGCTCTTATGACAAGGTGAAAAATAGATATTACTAACAAAGCTAGGAAACTTTTTTGAGACAGGGTCTCACTATGTAGTTCAGGCTGGCCTTGAACTCACTATGTAGTCCACGCTGGCCTTGAACTTGCTGTGATCCTCCTACCTCAGCCTCCCAAGTGCTGGGATTACAGGTATGCACCATGCCTGGCTAGGAAACATATGTATGTATGTATTTGTGTGTGTGTGTGTGTGTGTGTGTGTGTGACACACTCACACACACACAACCAGGAATCGAACTTGGACCCTTGTGCTTGCGAGGCAGGCAGTGGAACCACTGAGCCAAATCCCTAGTTTAGGAAATTGGACAGTGGTGAGGGTTTCTGTCTAGCCAGCACCACCTTTCCCCAGATCGCCTCTGCCACACCAACTTTTAGTCAAAGAGAAAGAACAAGGCCCTTTAGTTGTACTTCGAAGCTTCAGTGCACTAATTTTTCTTTTAACAGATAGTCTATAGTTGCACAGTCAAAAGCTGCAAAAGGGCATACAATGAATACTGTTCCACTTTTTCCCTTTCTTATTGTTTTTCTTTGGGGGGGTTACTGGGGATCAAACTCCGGACCTTGTGCTTGCGATGCAGGCAGCAGCGCCACTGAGCTAAATCCATGGCCCTGTTTGTCATCTTTGGTTGCTGATGTTTATACAAGTGATAAACCTTTGCTGCTGGTCCATATCAAGACTGAACTTCTTCATTCTTCTTTATGCTCACATAGCATTCCATTTATGTTTGTGAATAGTTCCTTATAGGTGGATACTTAGGCTGATTCTAACGTTTTCATAAACAATTATGAAATGAAAACCTACACACATTGTTTTGGACATGGGCTGTGTCCACAGGATCATTTAATAGAGTTGTAAGGTCCTATATAGAAATTTGTTCCTTCATTTGTTCTTTCATTGATTCAGTATTTATTGGGTACCTATTATGTGCCAGGAACCATGCAGGTACCAGGAATCTGACTTTCAACAATTCAGATAATGATCCCTGCTGTCAGGGAATGTTACGGTATTCTGATGGGGGAAAACACATATCCAGGAAATATAACAACAAACGTGTACACGAGAAAACGAAAGGGGGTCATATAAATTGGAAAGAGCTCCTTTAAATGGGCTCAGGAAGCCTTCTTAAAGGATGAGATATGATCAGCCATAACTGTGGGACAAGGATACTTAGGCTGTTCAAAGCCTACATTCAAAAGGATAGAAAGGATTTGAGAAGTGGCCACCAAAAAGGGGTTGGAAGTAGTGTAGACAGATGAAACTGGTGATTGAGAGTGGATGATATCAGAGAAATTAGGTGGCTAAAGGTGAGGCTAGTTAGGGGAGGGACCTGGTAGTGACAAAAGTTAGGGAGGTGTAAAGGGCTAGCAACTATTTGTGTTCAGGGAGCTTTAGATCCAGTTTATATAATTGAGTTAAATCAAAATAGGGAAATAGGAAAAGAGGCAACTTCTAACTGGCTTGTGAGAGGCATAGCCTTCCCACAGGCAGGAAAATGAGTTAAAATCTGGGAAGAGTTGGTCTTTGGTTGTAAGTAGAGCCTTCTGTATCTTTTCTGTGGCAAAATGGAAGCTTCCAAAACAGAGATGACATTGAAGGTCTCAGCCAGCCAGCTTTGGGCTGGCACACAGAGGACTCAGAGCTTGGGGTGGGAAGGAAAACTGGGCTCGGAGACCCACTCTCAACTTTGTGCTCCTTTTTCATCCTTACCCTTTCTGCTTCCCTTCCACAAAGGCCCATCTCTGTGTCCATCCTGGGTCCTATGACTTTTCTCTCCCTCAACAGTCGGTTCCCGATTCTGGTCCCCGGCCCCCAGCAGCGCCTGCCCCCTTCCCACCGGGGCCCCCCATGATGCCACCACCCTTCGTAAGTTTTGTGTGTTTCCCTGGGCTTGGCTTTTCCAGCCTGCACCCCCAACTCCCCAGCCCTTGCCACTGCTGCCTTGCCAGCATGGTGATGCCCCTTGGAAGAGGGGTGGTTTTGTTTGGGCGTTGGGATGGGGAGAGATGTTGTTAAGCTCTAGTTCATAAAGCTGCCAGTTTCCCCTTTGTCTTTTTTGTTCTTGGGACACGTTGGGACTGGAGGTAGAAGTGGAAGGAAAAAGACCCCATTAGAGTGAGAGCAGGGTGGGGCTATCTTTCTCTTTCACTACTCCTTACCTGTGCTCTTTTACAAAGCCACAGAATTTGGGCTGGAATAGCATTGGTGATCATGAGTTGGAGAGAAAGGGATGGGAGGCAGAGGACTAGGGGACGCCTGCCTTCTGCCCCTTGACCTGAGAGGCCTCTTGGGCAGGAGTGCCAAAGGGCACAGCCTCCCCGCAGTCTGGTGCTGTTTCACTTCCCTTTCCCTCGCCCTCCCCACCTTTTAAGTGGTTTGCTTGCCTGTTAGGCCCAGAGAATGCCCTGTTGTCTGTCTTTCTCAGTGCCAAGGAGGAAGGCAGTTTCGTGTCTTTGCTTCTCAAATGAAATCCTTGGAATTGCCTCTAAGCCAGGGTGGAGGGCTGGGTGTGCAACAAGTGGCTGTTTCCTGACAGGTCTTCTCTGCCCCCACCTAATAAGGCAGTATCTTTTCTGTTCAATCTCTTCCTTTCCTCACTTCCAGATGCCCCCTCCAGGGATCCCCCCACCCTTTCCTCCGATGGGGCTCCCCCCAATGAGTCAGAGACCACCAGCCATCCCCCCCATGCCGCCTGGCATCCTGCCCCCAATGCTTCCACCAATGGGGGCGCCACCACCACTCACACAGGTAATTGTCTCCCCCACGGGGCCTTAGGAAACCTTGTCAGGTTTTGCTGAGGGTGGAGGTGAGAGTGGGAATCTGGGCTTTACAAACTGGGGAGGAAAGAGAGTTTTGGGCCAGGCTCATGGATTTGTCTGCTAAGTGACCAAGACAACTCAGTCAAAGCGAGAGCCCAGAGCCAGGGACGCTTCTGAGGAGGTGCCCAGGTGGTAGTCACGGCTCCAGCAGGATCTCTCAGGACTCTCAGGGGACCCTGACTGACAGGGCTCTGCCTTCATTTCAGTGACTGGTTTTTATATCCACAGATCCCAGGAATGGTACCGCCGATGATGCCAGGAATGCTGATGCCAGCAGTGCCTGTTACAGCAGCGGTAAGCACTGGGAGCTGGCAAGAAGCAGGCTCTGCCCTGCAGTCTTGTGGGTATGACTTGGAGTACAGGAATATGGACTTCATTCTTTACCTCTTCTTATATCCACCCTGTTTCCCACAGCACCCCCCACACTTGAACCTTTCTCACTGTCATCTACTCATCGGTTCATTTCCTGCTCCTCCCCAAATGCATATGTGTTCTTTCTTATTATTCCCCCTGCTGCATCCAGCACCATTACAGAGCACACACATGCCAGACACTCCTTCCCTTCAAAAGCCCATGCACTGTAGACACAATAATATGGTCCCTTCTTCCCATCCTCTTTGCCTCCTGAGGTGGCAATGGCACCCAGGCATCTTGCTGTGCTTTCTTATGCGGCCGCTCAGTATAGTAGACTCTGAGTGGATGTTCAGTCTACCATGCACTGTGAAGAGATGGGCTTCAGGATTGACTCTACAACATATTCTGACTTGTGGAAAATGAAGAAAGGAGCTACAGTATGAGTTCCCTGGGATCTGAGAGCCATGGCCCTGGCAGGGGGGAGGTGGCCTATTAGGGAGCAAAGATTCTTGGGAGCAGGATACATGGATCCTGGCCTGGCCTGCTTCTCCATCCCCCATGGCCTGGGTCTTGGGGGCCACTGGGCTTGGCCCCAACCCTTCCCCCTCCTCTTTCTTCGGCAGACGGCTCCGGGTGCGGACACCGCCAGCTGTGAGTCTTCTGGGGGGTCTGCTTCCCCCAGGCTCGGAGGTTGGGGGGTACAGGGGAGAGGGGACCATGGACTAGAGCCCACTCTGGATCATGCCTGTTGGGATGCCAGGGAGCCTGGGATGTTGATGGGACCAGGGGGATATTTATTGGGACTGGAAAAAGGGAGGACTAGGTGGGAATAAATTGGGGATTGGAACAAGGACTTCATATGTTTTCTTTGGCTTCTTTCCTAGCTGCTGTGGCTGGGACAGGTCCTCCGGTGAGTCTTTTAGCTCGGGTCTGTGGGCAGAAAGGCTGAAAGTTGGGGGGCTGATGGTAGAATCTTTGGGGGTGAGGAGAGACTTTGGGAAAGGACCTTGACCACCGGTTCTGTGCACCCCCCCTCCCAGAGGGCCCTATGGAGTGAGCATGTGGCCCCTGATGGGCGCATCTACTACTACAATGCTGACGACAAGCAGTCCGTGTGGGAGAAGCCCAGCGTGCTCAAGTCCAAGGCGGAGGTCCTGAGTGGGGCTTTCTGGCCCTTCCTTTCAGCTGTCCTGACCCTTCCAAGTTCTTGGCCTCCCCCGAGTCTCTTAACTATGCTCACTGTGGTTCCTCCGATCCCACGATCCCTGATCCCACCCCTATACTACCTGGAAGTGTTTTCTTAGGACCTCAGGAAGTCCACCTTTCCCCATTCAAGCCCAGCAAGGTGGTAGCTAAAGGCTACTGTGTCCTCTAATCACTGGGTCCCCTTTGCTCCTCTGATTATGGCTGGAGAGCTCTGCAGCCTACTGATGTCCTTTGACCCATCCTCTTGCAGCTGCTGCTTTCCCAAAGTCCCTGGAAAGAGTACAAGTCAGACACAGGCAAACCTTACTACTATAACAACCAGAATCAGGAATCCCGCTGGACCCGGCCACAGGATCTGGATGACCTGGAGGGTGAGGATCCCTGGGAGGAGGGGGAAGGGAGAATCGGGCCCAGGCCCAGGTAAGGGGGTTCTTTGCTACCCTGTGACTGTCTTGTCTTTTCCCATTGCAGCTGTAGTCAAACAAGAGGCTGCAGGGTGAGTGACTTACCCACCTATCTGCATCCATACTTGAGGGGTGGGAATGGATGATCTCTGCATTATCCTCACTCTGTAGGGGAAAAGTCAGCTCTCCCCGGGGTCATCTGCTCTGGCTAGAGAAACTAGCCATCCCTTGCCTTTCTCTGTCCTCGCTCTTACTCTAACACTATCCTCTGGCTTGCCTGCAGGAAACAGCAGCCTCAGGCACTACAGCCACAGCCTCCTCAGCCACAGCCTGATCCTCCACCTGTACCTCCTGGCCCTACCCCAGGAACCACAGGCCTCCTGGAACCTGAGCTAGATGGAAGTGAAGATTGTGATGTGTCAGAGGCTGCCCAGCCTCTAGAGCAGGGTTTCCTGCAGCAGGTGGAGGAGGGCCCCAGCAGGTGAGGGCTGCCTCCGTGACATTCTGAAACATGGGCTTTAGGTTCTTAGCCTGACTTGTCCCTCATCCTCTGCCAGCGTCTTAGAATGGGGCATGTAGATCTTGGCATGACCTTTGGAGGGCAGGAAGAGGCCACCCTGGGAAGCAAGGAGGGGATGATGTGTTGCTGAGCACTGAAAAGCAGTGCTGGCTGGGAGTCCTGTGGCTGAATCCCATCTGTCCCCAGTTCTGCTGGACAACATCAGCTACCACAGCAGGAGGAGGAGGAATCCAAGCCAGAACCAGAGAGGTCTGGTCTCAGCTGGAGCAACCGAGAGAAGGCCAAGCAGGCATTCAAGGAGCTGCTGAGGGACAAGGTGCTGAGGGTTGGACTCCCAACCAAATGTGGAGGGGGCTAGAGGTAGACAGGCCTCGTGACCCCTGCCTGCTACATTCCAGGCTGTCCCCTCCAATGCCTCATGGGAACAGGCCATGAAGATGGTGGTCACCGACCCTCGTTACAGGTAGGCCTGGGCAGAGGCAGCCAGGCCTTGTTCATGAGCGCACCTGTGCCACCCTGAGAAATCCCAGCTCAACACTCAGGCTCATGGGGGCTGAAAGTAGTAGACTGTCATGGGATACAGGGGAGGAGGAGCTGAAAAGCCTCCAGGATAAGAAATGGAAGGTATCTGACATGAGAGTTCAATAAATGTTTTTTGGATTGAATTGAATTAATTGGGGGAAAGGCCTGATGATAGGGCAGAGATCTGATGGCAACTTGAGACCCCAAAGCAAGAGGACCCAGTGTTAGCAGAGTCTGGGGGCTACATCTCTTCCCTGCACTGCCTCTCCCATCTACGTTGCATACATCTGTGTGCAGAGCCCGTGAATGGACCCTCCACTCGGTCCTGTGGAGACCCTTCCCAGTGTCCTGTGACCCTCCTTTGTGAGCTGTGCAGGTGGGTTAGGCTGACTCCTATTCCTCCCACACCTATCCTTTCTACCCTAGTGCCTTGCCCAAACTCAGTGAGAAAAAGCAAGCATTCAATGCCTACAAGGCACAGCGGGAGAAGGAGGAGAAGGAGGAGGCCCGGCTGAGGGCCAAGGAAGCCAAGCAGACCCTGCAGCATTTCCTGGAGCAGCATGAACGCATGACCTCCACCACCCGCTACCGGTCAGGGGGCTGGGCTGGGCTGGGGCCTGGGAATCCTGAGGACACAGAAGCTCAGGGGCCTGTTCTCTGCCTGCCTACTTACAGCCCATATGCTCCACAGGCGGGCAGAACAGACCTTTGGGGAGCTGGAGGTCTGGGCTGTGGTCCCAGAGAGGGACCGAAAAGAGGTTTATGATGATGTCCTCTTCTTCCTGGCCAAGAAGGAGAAGGTAATGGTCAGTGGGCCAGACCCTTTAGCCCCCATCTTTTCCCCGACTGTCTTTACTTCCTAATGGACCCTGGCCATTCATTGCTGCACTCCCCAGTGTCCAAGCTCCTAACTTGGAACCTGGTGTGGCACTTGTACATCTCCCCATTTCTGCCCTGGGCTTGTGGCCCCAGGAGGAATCTTGAGAGGCTAGTGTGTGATTATGCTTCCTCTCCTTTCCTGGGACAGGAAAATCTTGAATCTGGCCCTCCTCCTAGCATTCTCTAGCTATCTCCTTTCCCCGTATCCTCTCTGCCGGGCCCACTTGGGTAGCTCTGGCCTGCCCCGCCTCACCCTGATCCCCCATGGCTTCCCAGGAACAGGCCAAGCAGCTTCGGCGCCGTAATATCCAGGCCCTGAAGAGCATCCTGGATGGGATGAGTAGTGTTAACTTCCAAACTACATGGTCCCAGGCCCAGCAGTATCTCATGGATAACCCCAGCTTTGCTCAAGATCATCAGCTGCAGAGTAAGCCTGGATCCCTACTCCCACCTGCCTCCCTTTCCTTAAGTGGCCCCCCAAAGCCTACCTCATACCACTCTCCTGCACCTCCCGCCCATCCTAGAAGACCCCAACACTCAGTCACTGTACATCCATGGACTCTGGGGGTCCCAGAATGTTTCAGGACACCTTTCCCTCTGAGTTCCTCTGTTACCCTGGACATATGTGTTCTTGGGGGTAGACCTCTGGGATAAGAATCAGAAGTTCCAGAGATAATGGTGGTGATGTTTATAGTGCATGATTATGGTCTTAAATGGTTAAAGCACCGTGGGCTTTAACTGAGTTACATATGTTCACATTGCTGGCTTGTAGTCACTGGTAGGAGAAATTGACCTTCTGAAGTCACATCAAAATCTGATTGACTCCTAATTTCCTAAGATATGAAACCTCAGATCCTGAGATAGCTGGTTTCATGTGCTAGCTTTTAGTCACTGAATTTATCAGAGCTGAATACTTGCTGTTTTTTTCTAGTATAATTAATGACCCCCTACTCAGGAACCAGCATTGCAGGGCTGGGGATTTAGCTCAGTGGCAACATGCCTACCGCCCAAGCACAAGGTCCCAGAGTTCGATCCCCACTACCGAGGGAAAACAAACAAACAAAAAACAGCATTGCAGCAGCTGCTCCCTTTCTCCCCTAATGGGTGTCCCCAGCACCTACAGGGACAGCATCCCTCAGACAACAAAGGGTACTAGAATCTTAAGAGGGTGCCTTGTTCAAGGTACCTGCTGAACCCCCTCCCTACCATGCAGACATGGACAAGGAGGATGCTCTGATCTGCTTTGAGGAGCACATCCGAGCTTTGGAGAGGGAGGAGGAGGAAGAGCGAGAACGGGCCCGGCTTCGGGAGCGTCGTCAGCAACGCAAGAACCGGGAGGCCTTCCAGGTATCTTCACTATACTCGTGGATCAGAGCTTGGCCCTGCCCCACTCATAGTCTCCTCACCTGTGCCTTGCCTCTGGGTTTGCTGCCTGCCCTTTCCCTAGCCCAGTCCAAGCCCCACGAGGCCTCTCTGCCGCTGCTGTGTGTACTCAGCTCGGTCTGTTCTCCAGGCAGACCAGATGTGTAGGCGTGGTGTGTGGGCGGAGCCGTGTATATTTCCTTACCCCCAGTTTGGGAGTGACAATAGTGGGGCAGTGTGGGGTATCTCTGCTTATCATGGCAGCAAGCTGAAGCCAAGTCGTAGAGCAGGCTTCTGCCTTACTGCCTCCCAGACTGGCTCATTCTCAATTTTTGTTGTATTTGCATGTCCTCCCTTTGTAGTTTTCTCTTCCTCCACATCTCATCTCCCCGCTTGCCTGGATTTCCCGTCTGGATTATCCTTGCCTATCCTCCTGCCATTCCCTCTCTTCTGCCCCAGTCCCTAGCTCCACCTCCCTCTCTGTCTCACTCTCCTTATCACTTGCCTCTTCCTGCTCAGACCTTCCTGGATGAGCTCCATGAGACAGGGCAGCTGCACTCCATGTCCACCTGGATGGAGCTGTACCCAGCAGTCAGTACTGACGTCCGGTTTGCCAACATGCTGGGCCAGCCGGGTAAGGCAGCCAGGCTCCCTCTCTGGTCTGCTTCCTGCCCTGCCGACCTGTCTGCACCCCCACACCTTGGTCCTGTCCTCGATCCTACCCCAGGCCTTGGGAAGCTGCCACCCGCCAGGCCCCCCCCATGTCCACCTGGATGGAGCTGTACCCAGCAGTCAGTACTGACGTCCGGTTTGCCAACATGCTGGGCCAGCCGGGTAAGGCAGCCAGGCTCCCTCTCTGGTCTGCTTCCTGCCCTGCCGACCTGTCTGCACCCCCACACCTTGGTCCTGTCCTCGATCCTACCCCAGGCCTTGGGAAGCTGCCACCCGCCAGGCCCCCCCCCC